CCAGAGAGAAAGAGAGCAAACGACTGTCATCGTCTTTCTGTTCTCTGCTTCATGTGTCAGGAAACCGTTTGTCTCGTCCACAAACTCTTCACAATATCACACTGCCAGAACTTCTGCTACATTTATAGTATGCACACTATCCCATAATGCAATGCGCTGAGCTGACCTGGCATTTCCAGCATGCATTACTGTTGGCGCTCGCAACACAAAGTCAACGGTTCGAATCCCAGTGAATGCATAAACTGATAAGATGCATATCTTGAATAATGTGAGTTGATTTGAATAAAAGCATCTGCCGAACATGTAAATGTGATGAATGAAGCAGAATATCTCTATTTTGACTTATTTTTAATTTGTTTATAATGACTAAATTTAAGTACTTTTTTGCACTAAATGTAATTAAAAAGCAAAAAAATAAACCCTCCATTTCTCAGATATTTGGATGCCACTGCGATGTGAAAATTGCAGACGGAATCACAAAATTCAGTCAAAAAATGGAATTTACAGTATAGTGTAGAATGTCATGTAATTTGACAAATTTTGGATGAATAAATTTTTTGTTACGCTTTTAATAATTTTACATTTGTATGTTTTATGAGTTAATGCTTTTAATCCAGAAAAAAAAAAAAATGTTGTAAAAATAAATAAATAAACGAAATTTAGGAAAAAGTCATTTCAAATGGGCCCTAAAAATTTATAATATGTTTAAATTTAAATGTTACTTTGTCAGAGAACATTCAAAAATGTGTGTGTGTGTTTGTGTGTGTGTGTGTGAGTGTGCGTGTGTGTGAGTGTTGATCAACAGGTGGCGCTGCTGCAGGTATGAGTGTAATGTTGACTATGCTGGGGTCACATGAGTTAATCTGGTGTCAGTGAGACGAGTGTGTGCATGTATGAATCCTGTGTCGGCTCTTCAAAGTGCCGCTCTTTCATGATCTACAGCCACACGTTTATCTGCAGCAGTCTCTGAGATCTGAAGATTCACTTCATTCTCGTCTGAACACCGTCACAACAGAGACGCCACCAGCTCAGATCCCATTACAACACCACTATACTACAGTCCACCAGCACAAACATAGTACTGTGCCTTTCATTCATTCATTCATTCATATATATATATATATATATATATACACACACACACACACACACACTGTATTATATACAATATATGTGTGTTTATATTTATGTATACATAATATATATTTATATATATGAATACAGTTTGTTAAATATGTAAATATATATATATACACTTACTTACACATTGTATGTACAGTATTTATATATGCAAATATCATTTATATAAACATGTATGCATGTACACACTGATTAAACAAATAGACCTATTTTTGCGCATTTTTGTGTATAAACTATTTTGTGTAAATACACAAAAATACACAAAATATAAAACACATTTGCATATGTAAATATATATGTATGTGGGTATGTATGTATGCATATATATATACACACACACACGCATACATAAATATAAATAAATAAATATGTATGTATGTGTGTATGTATATATGTGTATGTACAATATGTATGAATGTATGTATATATACACACAGACACATTCACACACACATTATGTAAATACTTAAATACATAGACAAACATATATGTGACCCTGGACCACAAAACCAGTAATAAGACTTAAGACTGCTTTTGTGCTCCAGGGACACATATGTAGATATGTTTATGAACAAATGCATATGTGTATATTATATAATATATATATATAAAGATATATGTTGTATATGTTGTTATATTATCTATTTATCATAATATACTTCACATTTTTTCACACACAAATATATAATACATATATTATATATAATATTTAATGTATACAGTGTATGCCTGTTAATGTCTACTGTACGTATGTTTATACCTATGTATATGTATATGTATACTGTATATACAGCAGTATGCCATGGCACTATCATAATATGTAAACAGAGCATGTGTTGTTTCTCAGAAAGCCTCTGCTCTGCTCTTCTGTCGTTCTGTTAAAGGCAGTCAGAGCAAACATATGCTAATGACCGGACAGTCAATAGAATTAAATGATAATTGATGTAAATGCAGTTTTGCGTTCCGCTCTTTATGGCCCGGAGCATCTCTCGTCTGATTGGCTGATGAATCCTGTGATGCGCTAATGGGCAGTTAGCGCTCGGGCTAATGTACTAACGATTAGCCTGGCGTGGGAGCGTCACGCGGCAAACCTGAGCGCTGCTACGATCACAACAGTCATCGGGAATGAGAGTCATTGCACCTGCTTAATTACTGTGATAATTGCATGTGGTTTGCTGGGGGCCCGGGGCTCCGGCGGCGTGATGCTAATGTGCCCGGCGCTCTGTCAAACCCTTAATAACACTAATGCTTTCCTGCGCCATTACTAGAGAAACACAGGACCGCACTCGTACCGCATCTAAACAACAACAAACACAGTGTTTATTTAGCTAATGAACTCCTCATCAGTTCAGAAACGAGCTGCATCTGCGCTGACGACCCTTAAATGACACCAAACTCTAGAGATTCACTGAAGACCCTGTTAAATGACTCACATGAACGAATCCCAACACACTGAACACAACAACACAACCAGTGATTGGGAAGACACTAACTTACACTAAAACTAACTGAAATACTTTAAGATTCACTGTAGTGAACCAACTCGTTGTTTTTGTAGTGAATCAGTTCATAATAGTGAACTAATAGTGAATCAGTTCATTATAGTGAATCAGATCATTGTAGTAAATCAGTATATTGTAGTGAATCAGTTCATTGTAGTGAATCAGTTCGTTGTGGTGAATCAGTTCATTGTAGTGAATCAGTATATTGTAGTGAATCATTTCATTGTAGTGAATCAGCTCATTGTAGTGAATCAGTTCATTGTAATGAATCAGTATACTGTAGTGAATCTATTTATTACAGTGAAACAGTTTACTGTAGTGAATCAGTTCGTTGTAGTGAATCAGTTTGTTGTGGTGAATCAGTTCATTGTAGTGAATCAGTATATTGAAGTGAATCATTTCATTATAGTGAATCAGTTCATTGTAGTGAATCAGTTCATTGTAGTGAATCAGCTTGTTGTAGTGAATCAGTTCATTGTAGTGAATCAGTATACTGTAGTGAATCAATTTGTTACAGTGAAACAGTTCACTGTAGTGAATCAGTTCAATGTAGTACATCAATGTGTTGTGGTGAATCAGTATATTGTAGTGAATCAGTTCATTGTAGTGAATCAGTTCGTTGTAGTGAATCAGTTTGTTGTGGTGAATCAGTTCATTTAGACTGTGGTGAAGCAGTTCAAATAAATAAGATTCAAAAAAAGATTCATAGATCACTTCATATTCAGAATCACTGATTCATTTAAGGTTCTGCACAACATTTGATCTTTTTGTATCAAATTATTAATGTAAATGGTTTTATCAGTTGTATTTAATGTAAATGTAGCTGTACAGGTATAATGTAAGTATTGTAAGTCACTTCGGATAAAAGTATCTGCTAAATGCATAAATATAAACGTAATATTGTCACCTCACATTTTCATTGTTTTTGTACCAAATACTGTACACTCTGATCTATAATATTGTAGTTACATAACTAAAAAGAAAATGTCACTTTAGTTTAGCTTAAAGTGAATAGATTCAACAGCAGCTTTTTTTTTTTGATAGTATCTTATAGTATAGATCAAGGGTTTTCAATATTTTAGATGAGCACTGACTCCCATACTAAAAATAAAATAAATAAATAAAAAAGAAAGAAATGTATAAATAAAAAAATTAATAAATACATAAATATTTTATGCATAAAACCCCAAATTATACTGTGAAAAATTAATGTTAAAAATGTGGAAAATATGATGTTTCTTTTCTACTCATTATAGTACTGTACTGTTAGATGTATAATTTATTTGTTTGATTATTTAATCTTTTTAAAATTTTAATCAAATGATTCATTCATTTAAAACTTAATTATTTTGTAAAATATTTAGGGTTTTTTATGTTTTCAACTCACTATAGCACTGTACTGTTAGATGTATTTATGTTTTTGTTTATTTAATATTTTTAAAAATGTATTCAATTCAATTTATTTATTTATTTTAATAAAATTATTTGCTTTTTTATCTTCACATGCTTATACTGTTTTTCCCTAAATTTTTCCACAGACCCTCTTTTAAAAACCCCTGATATCGTTCCAGGTTATCATTGACTAAAACTAAAACCATTTTAAAAATCTAAACATTTTTGTTACTTGTAATGAAATAATTGTTAACTGAAATCAAATAAAATGTTAAGCTTATTTTATTTCAGCTAAACTAATTTTATTAAAAGTTGAAGTTTTAAAATAACTAAAATTAAAGTAGAATTAATAAACAAAAATTAATAAACAACACAACAAAATTACGAAAACTTTATCTGAAATAAAAAATGAAATAAAATAAAATTTTAAGCTTATTTTATTTTAGCTAAACCTTTATTATATTAAATTTTATTATAAGTTTAATTACTAAAAGAACTAAAACTAAAAGTAGAACTAATAAATAAAAATTAATAAACAACACGCAACAAAATTACTAAAACTTTAGCTGAAATTAGAAATGAAATAAAATAAAACTTTAAGCTTATTTTATTTCAGTTAAACCTTTATTGCATTAAATTTTATTATAAGTTAAATTACTAAAAGAACTAAAACTAAATAAAGTAGAACTAATAAATAAAAATGAATAAACAACACGCAACAAAATTAATCAAACTTTAGCTGAAATTAAAAATGAAATAAAATAAAAATAAATTAAAAATTTAACTAAATTCAAAATAAATTAAATTAAATTAAATTAAATGTAAAAAACCACAGAAGTATCTAAAAGAACACTGGTATGGGAAACTAGAGAAACTTGACTGTAGTTTAACAGCTTTCAGTGCAGCTTCTCCATCACTGGATGTCAAATAAATCAGCTGTAATCTAGTAAAGCGAGAGTTTTTCACCTGCGCACTTGGTGCGGGCCCTGAGCGGGGGCCCCGGGGCCCCGGTGCCGCCCTCGTTGGGTCTGGTGAGCAGCACGCTGATCTCGTACTCGGTGTCGGGGTCCAGGTGGCCGATCTTGTGGTTGGGTTTGTCGACCGGCTGGCTGTCGATCAGGCTTCCGGAAAGCGTGCGGTACTCCACCTCCTTCTCCACGATCGGCCCGTCGCCGTTGATGGAGTTTGCGTTGAGCTGGATCCACAGGTAGGTGGCGCCGACCGCCGTCAGCTGAGGAGGAGCGATGGGGATCGGAGGCTCTGAGAGAGTGACAATATTCATATTATTACAACATTTTCAACCGTCATATCTGTAATATTTGACCCTGGAGCACAAAACCAGTCATAAGGGTCAATTTTTTTAAATTATTACTAATCAAAAATTACGTTTTGATATATTTACGGTAGGAAATTTACTAAATATCTTCATGGAACATGATCTTTACTTAATATCCTAATGATTTTTGGCATAAAAGAAAAATGTATAATTTTGACCCATGCAATGTGTTGTTGGCTATTGCTACAAATATACCCCAGCGACTTAAGACTGCTTTTGTGCTGCAGGGACACAAATGAGGACGTCTTCAGCCGTCATATCTGTAATATCATAGTTATGTAACTTGAAAGAAAAGGTCGCTTTAACTAGCTGAAAATAAAGTAGACTGAATACAGTTAGCTACTTTTTGTTAAGTAGCTTGTAGTATAGATCATCCTCATGCAAGGAATATTAAAACAACATCTATGTATTTTCAAGTGTAAAGAGTCATCTTATACTGTGAAAATTTTGCATTATAAATAAAAGTAAAATATTATTTGGATTTTTTTTTATGTTACATTACTGATATATTATTTATTTTAATTGTTTATTTAATCAACATTTTATTTATTAAATTATTATAATCAAATTATGTTTATTTATTTAGTTTAATCTTATTGTTATTATTTATTTTTACACTATTTTTCTTTAATATTTTCTACAGACCCCAGTTTGAAATCAGGGTTATTATCATTAACTAAAACTAAAACCATACTAAATAAAGAAATAAATAAAAATTGTTACTTGAAATATAATGCATGTTAACAGAAATAAAATGAGTGAGTGAGAACATTAATGTAATTTTCAACATATAAAGTCATTGATTTAGCCATCAAATCCATACTACTGTAGTTTGTGTGTAAAATATTATGAGTAAAATGTAATTTTGCAAATATATGGGGTTTTTCACGTGACATTATTATGTTTATTTTCTACAAAAAAAATTATAAAAGTGTTATTTATTTTTTTAATCAAATGTAATCTTATTTTTATCATTTATTTAGTAACAATACATTTAGATCAGAGTTATTATTAACTAAAACTAAAACCATAAAAACTGTCATTACTTGTAATAAAATAAATAATAACCTAAATTATATATATATATATACATATAGCTGATAACGGTATATAGCTAACTGTTTTCATTTATTCCCTTAATATTTCTAATATTACATAGTGAAAAAAAATGAGGAGAAACATATTTTGTGTTAAACAGGTTGTTTTTGAAAGCCGGTGCTTAGAATAAAAGCTTTTTATTTCATTGATTTTTATTGATGACTGCAGTGTTAATATTTTAACTGTAGGCCTATAATTAATTGTATAATAGACCTGTTTTAAAATACCTTTTTTTTAAAAAACATTTTAATTGAGGAGTAAATCTTTAGCCTAATCTTTTGTTATCCTCGCAGCGCGTCAGTTATTTGGTCATTATTGCGGGGTAAATTAATTGTAATTTTAAAATGTTAAAAGTTACTTCATAATAATAGTAACAGGCCTACATTAATTGGAAATGCTAAATATCTTTATATATATATATATACACAGACACAGACACACACACAGACACACACACACACACACAGAAACCGCCATCAGAGCATGAAAATCTATTAGCAATACAAGACAATCTGCTTCGGTGTCACAGTCAACCTGAACACAAATGAGGCCCGTGACTGATGTTTCTACAGGAAAAACATCTGTTTTATCATGTTTATCATGCATTTGCTGTCGAGTTTCAAACCCATCAGCAACACTCTACAATAAAGTTAAAAAAGGTTTAAAAATATATATATTTTACAATAAAAATACACTATTTTGCTTAGAACCATTTGCTTCAATGGCATCTTAGGGCTAGATGTTAACTCAGGAAAATAAAATAAAATAAAACAAAATAAAAATATAAAATAAAACATGAATAAAATTAAATTATACAAAATTAAATTAAATTATACAAAATTTAATTAAATTATAAAAAATAAGATTAAATGAAACATAAAAAATATCAAATTAAATAATATAAAAAAAAAACGTAACTAATATAAAATTATAAAAAACAATAAAAATTACAAAATAAAATTATAATTTTTTAAAAATTGAAACAGAAATTAAATAAAACGAAATAAGAAATGAATAAAAGAAAAGAAAACTATAAAAAAGAAAACAAAACAAAACAAAAGAAAAATTATAAAATCAAATAAAATTAGAAAAAATACATAAAACAAAATACATTTTTGAAAAAATAAATAAAATCAAATAAAATTATAAAATAACCAAAATAAAATAGAATAGAATAAAATAAAATGGAGTAAATTAATGTGCAAAAACAGTATCAAAGCAACTGAGAAAGCGAGTGCTCACTACTATGATGCTGATGATGAGGTACATTCAGAGTGTCAGGGCTGTCTTTAGCACACAGGACTAACATCATCATCAGACGGATGGACTGTAGCTCAGATTGAGAGCTCATAGCAGCAGCAGCAGGTCTGTAGAGGAACCTCAGAGCAGCGTCTGGATCTGGAGCGTGGAGAACACCAATTACAGCTGTGCTAATGGAGCATCCATCATCCTGGCAGCTGTGTGCAGGTGTGACCACAGACACGCTCCGCTACACCCACAACAACACCAACACCACCACGACACCGACAGCGACATCTCTCTCCATCCTCCCACTGACAGAGTCACACACGCTTCAATCTGATTCACTTCACTGCTGTCTGCTGTCACTCACACACATCTACAGACCAGAAGATCACAGACAGAGCATATGTTCAGATGTGATTCAGTCGTTCAAATCTGATCAAATCTGGACACTTTATCAAACCCGAACGAGCCAAGCTCAAACTCAACCAGAAAACCATTCCTTCATAAAAGCAGCTCGTAAGTGTATTTACTGGTCTCATTAGTGTTTAATGCAGTTGTTGTTGCTAGGAAACGCTTGTTTTGTTTACTGTGTGGAGACGTGCTGATATCGCGTTTGGTCTCGTTCTGTATCGCGTATCTTGTCAGTGTCTGCGCTTGCTTGGCCATTTGTTGTGGAGAAAATACGGAAAGTGTGTCCAGCTGAATTAATGTAGTATTTTGTTAGACGTGTATATTAATATTAGTGCTGTCAAAATTAGCACATTAATGCATGCAATTAATTTTTTCAGTTTAACGCATTAAATATTAAGGTAAATATTAATATACTTATTAAAGGATAAGTATCGCTTTTTATTTCTCCTCTTTCCTATTACTTGTTTCGCTTCTGTTTCAGTTTTTATAACCATTTCTTACTATGTGTAAGTAAGTTGTTGTTTTTTAGCATGTAAGTTTGGCAGTGTTATTTTTTTTAGGATTACTGATAAACTACTGTCATTTGATTTGTATTATTTGTATTTGTTATTTATTTTAAATTTAGTTCAATTATGTCTGAATTTATTATGTCTGTTCAGGTCTTTTATTAAGTTTTAGTTTTATTTAATTTTAGTTATTTTAATACTTCAACAAACTAAATGGAAATGAAATAATATATATATTGAACTTATAAATGTGTATGTACATATACAGTATGTATGTATGTGTGTGTGGTTGTACATACACATATGTAGTTGTTTTTTTGGTGTTTGGCTTAGGTGCAGCTCAATCAGGTCTCGTCCCATTCGTCGATATTTGTGATATCACAAATCCCGGAAAATATGCATTGTAGTCCAAACGAGTCGTTCGTTGTAGTTTTTGAAAAGTGATTTCTGTTAAATAAAATATCTCCTTTTGAAGGGGATTTTGAGCTTTGTAACGTTGTAGATATTTTTTATGCTCAAACAGTAACATTACAGACTAACTAAAGTTGAAAAAGTGAAAAAGCGTAATAGGACCCCTTTAAAAAAAAAAAAAGAGGTACATTTTTAACTTCTGCAGCAGAATGAATGCCGCCAAACACAAAAAAAACTTGTGAAAAAATTTTTGACTTTGGCATCATTTTGACTTGGATAATTGTTATTAACATACAAGAAAAAACAGCAAAAAAAATTTCATTCTCATAATGAAAATTTATATTTTTAATAAAATATTCGGAAATACAGTTTTATTGCTGGTTTAAAAAAAACTTTTAAATCCTAATTACCTTGATAAAACGTCATCTAGAGTATGTATGAATAAATAAATATTTACTAAAATTAAACTGAAAAATGACTTGATCTGTTAATATAAATTCCATTTTCATAAAATCAATAAAATACCAGAAAAGGCTTTTAAGCTAAATTCACTTGTCAAAACATCCTCTACAGTATGTATGAATGTATAAATAAATAAATAAATAAATATATTAATAATGACTTGTTCTGAACTTCTGCTATTTTATTTTATTTTAAACATTATACTCTTTTTAACTATTACAACACAATTAATGCGACCAAACAAAATGTTTGGCCCAATAAAACATATGTAAAAAATTTATTAAATGCCATTTTAACTTACAAACTTAAAAAAAAACTGCAAAATAATTCCATTGTCAAAGATTAAAAAATTAATAAGAATACTGAAATACACAGTTATGGCCGTTAATAAATATGTTTGGCTGTCAAAACTTCCTCTACTGTCCAAAATTTTTAACTTCTGTGTTTTTTTTTTCTTCTGCATTTTTTTACTTCTGCGTCTCTGATGAGAAACTTGGTTATGACTCGACTCAGTAATCATGAAATAAGACGTATGACCCTTTAAAACACTTGTTGTCTGGAGGAACTAGAAGCGTCTTGTCATCGGAATCAGAATCTCAGCAGCTGAACAGATTCAAGTCTGTGTGACTTCAGTGCAAGTAAAGCAACCCTTCGCTCACCAAAGGTCAGTGGCCAGCGCTCAGCTGTCTGTGAGAGTGTGTCCTGCTGTAATGTGAACGGGAACATCACAGCTGTGTGTGTGTGTGTGTGTGTGTGTGTGTGTGTGTGTGTGTGTGTG